GTTAAGTTTTAGGCAGAACTTCCAGTAGTCTAATTCTTCACACTTTCTCTCTTATACTTTCTCTCTCATTTTCTTTTGTCTTTTAAGTCATATATAGATATATAAATATAGCTTTCGTAATCCTTTATACATTCGGCGTCTACGACTAGCAGACAGAAAACACTATAGCAGTCACTGTAGCAGAAGATAAAACGTCACTGTAGCAGTCACTGTAGCAAAAAAAGACAGAGACCTATTACGGAAGACACTGTAACAAGTCACTGTAACGGTACTGTAGATAAAAAATCTACTGTACACTGTAACGATCAACTGTACAGATTACTATTCATAGGATAGAATTTTTCTATTTAAGGAGGTTCATTGTTAAGTTTTAGGCAGAACTTCCAGTAGTCCAATTCTTCACACTTTCTCTCTTATACTTTCTCTCTCATTTCTTTTTGTCTTCTAAGTCATATATAGATATATAAATATAGCTTTCGTAATCTTTTATACATAGATCTTTTCCGATAATAGTAAAAAGCATAACTGTAGCATTTAGAACTAGAAAAACTAACCACGCCCAAGTTACAAATTTTTTATTTTGACGAAATATAAATTAATTAATTTTTTATTTACTAATAAAAAATAAATATTTTTTAGTATTTTGTCGCTGTTTTTAGAATTATAGTAAAAGAGATATCATATGAAGCAATCAAAAAAATAATTTTTATAGTCGTGGTTATAATCAAAAAATAATTAAAAAGCATTTTAATAATTTAAATCAATTATAATATGAAAAATATTTTTATAATTATGATAAGATGGTATTTTCATAATTATGATTAGAAAGTATTAAAGTAATTTTGACAAATCATAATATAAAAATTATTTTTGTAATTATGATAGAAGGATATTTTCATAATTATGGTTATAATGACATTAGAGTAACATTGGTTAATTATGATAAGAAGGGTATTTCCATAATTATGTTAAGAGGGTTTAAGATTTTGAGTTTACGGTTTTATTTAATTATGCTTACAAAGTATTATAGTAATTTTCACCAATTATAATATGAGAGTCTATTTTCGTAATTATAAGTGGAGAAACATTATATGAAGCAATAAAAAATAGGTTTTTTGTAATTATGATTAAAGAGTACTATAATTATTTTAGTTAATTATAATATGAGTAATATTTTTTGTAATTTTGTTGAGAAAGCTTTTTTTTTAATTATGATTAAATGGTATTATAGTAATTTTGGTAAATTATAATATAAGATATATTTTCATAAATATGATAGGAAGAACATTATAGTCATTTTAGCAAGTGATGATAAGAGGATATTTTCATAATTATAGTTGTAGAGGCATCTGTAATACTTTAGCCCAAATGATAATTAGGCTAAACTACTACTAAAGCCCATTAAATTAATTAAAAGGTTAATTATTAAAGATAAAGTGACTGAAGTGTTTTACTAGAGAAAAATCTAGTTATCGTGAAATAGAAAAGCTAATGGGAATTCTTTTTCCTAATCTTTCTTAAAATTAGAGAGCATGAAAAATTAGGTACAGGATCCAAAATTGAAGACTACAATTGAGTTAATCTCTTAATGGTGAGCATATGCCTTCTTTTTGTTTAAGAAAAATATACCATTTTGGTTGCTATTTTATGGAGTTACAGTTTTGAGAGAAAAATCAAGAAAATTATAAAATCTTTCATTAATCTTCATAATCTATTTAGGTAAATTATTGGGCTTTATTTTATTTCATGTTCTTAAGATTTATTGATGATTATTGAATAGAGTTTAAAAACTGAAACTAGGGATTTGATTTTTTAAAAATTGAAAGAGAAATTTTGTTTTTGAATGAGATGCTATGATCTATAATAGTGAATAAAATAAAGTTTTGTATTAATGGATGGACTATTGCTATGATTATTATATATCATTGAAAAGTGTATTGAATCTATTTTCTAATGAAATAAACGGAAGTCAAATCTGAGTTTTTTATGAAAAGTTGTCTAATTTTTACTTAAGATATACAAGCTATATGATGGCATCATCAGGTTAAATGTACGAAAATTGTCTGTAAATTTTTATACAAAGGAAGTAGGAATTGAGCTATAATATGTTTGAAAAGATTATTTAGTCTAATTTCTAACAAAATAAGTGGAATTGGAATTTAGAGTCTCTTATGAATAAATATGTAATTGTTATTAGAAGGTATACATATTATCTTGAAGCAACATATAATGCGGATTGCAAAATTTATTATAATTAATCTATAAAGAATTATGAGGTGAGCCATATATGGTTAGAAATCTTATCAAGTCGAGTTTCTAACGCCATTAAAGAGATCTTAATTTGATTTAGATATATTGAAATATGGCCATTTTAATGAAAAAAAGGTCCAGCTATTAGTACTAGTTAATTGAGTTAATTCTTGAATAACTTAATTGTTTTTTGTATCATTGGTTTCGAAATGGGTTGATTAATTTCTATTATGTTGAAATTATCTTGAATAAGCCATTAATTATTTTGAAAAAAAAAAAAACTAAGTAGTACAATCATAAGAAGGTAAGTAGAATCTTACACATTTTGCTTATTTTTTGAACCTATGTATATATGTATATTTCTAAATGAGTATATGTTTTATTTTATTATTTTTTATATATGAAAATAAGACCAAGGATATGATTATTTTGTGTTTTTGCTATATAAATGATGGGTCATGCTTATGAATGAAATGAAAAAAATGATTTATGTTTAAGAAACGATTTTATGATAGTTACGTTTTTACATCCATGAGAAGTGAGATCATCGATACCAAAACTACTTTAACGGCCTTGGTTAATAGGTAATAATAGTTAGCATAGACATGATCATACGACCCTACTAACGGGTTATAGTAGTTAGCGTAAGGCCTTGGCTAACGGGTTATAATAGTTAATAATGATCATAAGAATGAAATTATCGATACCGCCAATGTCACGAGTTATAGCAGTGATCATAGCTAACGATAAATTAACAATGAACTAATGATTATGATAATGATGGTTTATGATGATTTTAGTGATTGATTCATGATTTGATTTAATTATGATATTTGAATGACAGCATATTTTGTAATGATTTATTAATTAACATGTTTTGATATTTATTTATGATTTATGAAATGTTTGACATAATGATGATTTTAAAAATATTTTGACATTATGATTTGACGAATGTTTTAAATGATTTATATAATTTGTATAAAAATGATACTTGATCCGGTAAGGTGTGTGAGTCTATATTTGTTGAGTTGTGGTTTGCTCATTCCCCTTTTACTTTTTTTTTACAGATGAGTAAGTAATAAGTATGATTAGTCTTGTAAAAAGCTAGAAGATCAAATGAAAAAGATTACTTAGCCGTCAGAGACAATATTGGTCAATGAGATCTTATGAAATAATTTTGTATTTTTTTATGATTTGTATTTGGATATATAGAAATGTATCATTAGTTAAATTAAATATATGAATTTTACTTGACAGATTATATCAATTTATTCAAAAAAAAAGATTTCATATTACTTTGAAGTTTTGCTTCAAGGTAATATGATTGTATTACATCTTAATCTCGGGACGTGATAGCATCATAATAATTTTGCTTAATTATGGTAAAAAGAGTATTTTAATAATTATGTCAAAAGAGGTATTCTAATAAATTTTGTTAATTATAGAAAGAAATATTTCACAATCAATTTAAATGTAAGTAATATAATAGTCAAATAATTAAAAAGATATAATGATCATTTCAACGGAAATTGAGTTCGTACCTAACATCAACAATGTTGAGTTTTTATCAAAAATTTATATTATGAATTAAAAAATAAAAAAAAATCAAATTCGTTACGAAGCCAACCCATCCATTAATATAATTTTCTTAAAATATGATTAAATTAAATAAATAAAAAAATATTCTTTTAATAATAATATGAAGCGATCCATATTAAAAAGTCAAAATATTAAAATCTATTAAATATTAAAAAAATAATAAAAAATAAAAAAATAAAATGACTACACATGTTTTATATTATTGATATAAAGTGAGCTCACAAAAAAATTTAAAATAAAAAATATTTATCAATTAAGTAGAAAATTAAAAATAAAAAAAAAAACATGTTGTGTATTTCTAATAACAAATGAGTTTCAAAATAAAATTAAAATGAAAAAATAAATTTTGTTTGAAAAAAATTAAAAAAGGAAAAGTTTTTAAAAGATAGTATAAGTCACTCACATAAAAAAGTTTTTTAAAAAATATATTTTAAAATATCGTAAATAATAAAAAAGAAAAAAATTTAAAAAAATGGGTGAAAAAAATCAAAAGATAAATTTAAAAAATATCGATCCTATACCTTTTTAAAAATAAAATTAAAAAGAGGGCCACCAATTGAAAAACAAAAAAACAATGGTTAAAAAATCGAGTCCTACACCTGCAAAAACCAAAAAAAAATGTGGGCTCCACACCCATTTAAAAAAGTTCAAAAAAAAAAAAAAAACAGGTGAGGATTACGATAAGAAAGAAGAAAAAAACTAAAGAAAAAATGAAATGACACGTGAAATGCACAGTACAAATAAAATTGCAGCATTTTTACGTTAGCAGCAGGATGGAATAAATGGAAAATAAATTCTGATACCCTACCGGATGAGAATGAGATGATCCCTCTTATGAGTTCTTACAAGATAAAAAGAAATAATTTATTTCTCTTGAATTTGTATATAAATTTTTTCCATGATATACACATCAGAATTTTTTCAATCTTGGGAAATTACTTAAACACTTCTCAAATCTTCTTTCCATTTTTTTTTTTTAATCCAAAGAAGCAGAGCAACCAAGGTAGGCAATATTGCCTCAAGCGCTTGCAAACAAAAACTAATCTTGGCTTTAGATCCCTGTACAACTAAGATTTTTTTTTGGCTTAAATTTTTGTTTTCAAGAAATTAGAATTTAGTTTTATTAATTTATGTAATTATTTTTAAAAAATAATGCTTAATAATTTAAAATTTAAATCTTAATTCTTATAAAATTTTATTTTATCATAAATTCATGTTTTGAAAAGCATCATGTGGGTACTATTGTGACTGCTATGTGATTATGTGACATACGCAACATGTGAAATTTTACTGAAAAGCAACATGTTTAAGTCATTGTAATTAATACGTCATTTGTATTTTTTTAAATCCATTTTGAAGTCGAACTTATCTTCAAGGAAAGAGGTATTTCAATACTCAAGAGAAAGTCTTTGCAGAACTCCATCCGGCACCGGAGAAAATGGCATCTGAAACCTCAGTGGATTATGACAGAACTAAAGAGTTGAAGGAATTTGATGACACAAAAGCTGGTGTTAAAGGACTTGTAGATGCTGGCATAGTTAGCATCCCCAGGATGTTCATACGACCAGCTGAGGAGCTTGCTGTTGAGGAACTGAATTCCTGCCAGACAAACATTAAAGTTCCGATCATAGATCTAAGCAAAATCCAAGACGATAGCCGGCGTAAGGAGATTGTAGATGAAGTTAGGATTGCATCAGCAGAGTGGGGGTTTTTCCAAGTAATTAATCATGGTATCCCTTTAAGTGTGTTGGATGAGATGATTGATGGGGTACGTATGTTCAATGAGCAGGATTTGGAGTTGAAGAAAGAATTCTATACCCGTGAGGTCACAAAGAAAGTGAGATTCAACTCCAACTATGACCTATATACATCACTAACTGCTGATTGGAGAGACACTCTGAACCTTTCTTTCCTTGACTCTGACCCTGACCCTGAAGAAATGCCAGCAGTTTGCAGGTAACCATGCACTAATCTAGTTTCTTAGTTTTTTATCTGCCTGTCAGTCAAATCTTTTTGTTATCATGGTAATATATATAGGAGCATCTATCAGTACAGAAATTTCCCAGTATCTCTCAAATCAAGGCTACAGTTATGCTGTTCAAGTGTTATTGGAATTGGTATATCCAATCCATCTCATTTGTTCTGGAGCATTTACATATTCTGGTTGTTTAAATTTGCAGAAAATCAACATTAGAGTATACTAAGTATATCAGAAGGTTAGGTGAAACTTTGTTTCAGTTGCTATCAGAGGCTCTTGGTCTTCAAGAAGACTACCTCGGCTCAATCGGATGTGCTAAAGGGTGTAGCATTGTGTGCCACTACTATCCAGTTTGCCCCCAACCGGAACTGACTTTGGGAGTAAGGAAGCATGCAGATGCAGGTATATTGACTCTGCTTCTGCAGAACGAAATCAGCGGCCTCCAGGTCCTTCATGAGGGACAATGGTTTGATGTTCAGCCCACTCGAGGAGGCTTGGTCGTGAATATCGGAGATCTTCTTCAGGTTTGATTCAGATACATCTACTTTCATGAACTTTCCTTTCCAAATAGCTAGTAACTTTTATGCTGTATGGTAGATTATATCAAATGACAAGCTGAAGAGTGTCAAGCATAGAGTAACTGCCAATCATGTTGGACCTAGAATTTCTGTGCCATGCTTTTTCTCAGGACATGCTAGTTTACTTGACAAGCCGTTCGGCCCAATCAAAGAGTTGATATCAGAGGCAAATCCTCCTCGATACAAAGAAGTCCGGCTAAGGGAATATATTGCCAGATTTTTTTCTAGCTCACTTGATCACAAGCCTCCTATAGATTACTACAGGCTATAAATATAGATTCCCAAGAGCTATGAAGCTAACTATCAATGCCATGAAATGATATTTCCAATGGCATTCCGATCCAGAAGATGGTTAAGCATTTCAGCTTTTGTACTTTGCCAGCTTCCATTAGTTTGTGTTGGTCATGTCTACATTACTTTGTTCAGTGACACCCCTTTTATTTGCCCAATAAAATGCCAAGAACTGAAGAAAACTTCCATCCATCCACCCACCTGGACTTTGGAAAGCTTCAGTTCTAATTTACTCTTCAACAATACAACTCAAGAAAAGCCTCTTTGTAAGAAAATTACAAAAGGAACTAATTACTTTACTATCCAATTATAGTTCAAAAGCTGACAGAAAAGTGTCAAATGTGGATGGTTCTTCCATGTACAAGGCTCATAAAATATGCTTGCATGAATTTATAATGGAGTCTATGACTAATGATTAGTAGTAACAATTTGATGGGGGGTTTATGACAATACCATGAATTGCTCCTCTTTGACCTAAAGAGTTCCTGTTGGTATCTGTCAGAAAAGCCATTGGTTGAGAACTAGGAGGTAGTGGAATCTCAGAAAAGTGGCCTGAAATGCAGAGTGTGCCAGAATCATATTGCTTCCAATAGATTTCAACCATGACACCTCTATGATTCTTGGCTGACTCTGTCTCGGTATTCCCGCAAACCTTTCACCTACTGGTATCTGCAATTATAATTTTTGAAATCAAAACATCTAAAGTCAAATTATTGCACTAACTTGAAGGGAATCTCCAGTTATTAATGTCAGAGTGACAAGTCTTCTTTCAGCTCTAGCTTTTTCTAGCTCTGCCTGCCTAGCAATATCCAAGAAAACTTCTTCAAGGTTAGTAAGGCCAAGTTGAATATCTGCTATACCAAACAAATTCGAGGAGAAAGTTTATTCCATAACGGGTTAATTCTGCATGTCAAGAGCTTTTCTCTATCATGAGAATGACAAAAGACAGGAAAGCTTTATTCTCCTCCTGTGGTTCTACATCTAGAGACAAGCCACATGAGAAACCAACTCCTTGAAATTTGAGAAATCTTGAACCAGGTGAAACTATCCAACAGACATTTTTAAAGAACTGGTTCAAACCCTCATGGTGGTAACTGGTAGCAACAACATCTCCATTTGGAGGACCCATTCCATTTTTGCTTCCAAGGAAGCTAATGTTGGCAAAATCGTGACTTCAACCTGATTTGAGGTTCCAATGCAGCGGAGCCTACCCTTTGCCACGTTTGCTATGTGGTCACTTATAAACATCAGATTCTTCCATAGAGTGTGTTGTTCAGAAAATGACACGGCCTTTCTTTGCCTCCTCTATTATGTCCCGTGCATGCTTTCTTGTTATTGGACCCATACCAGAAGTCTGCAGTTAACAGAAAAAGATTAATATACAGTACTATAAGAAACAGAGACACTTAGATAAACAGATTTAGCACATTAACATATTGAAAGAGATTCTTATTGGCATATCAGTTCATCCAGAATGACTAACTTTGGATCATCAATAATGGACACTGCAACACTGAGCGGGTGCCTCATTCCTCCACTGTAACTCTCAGCTCTTACTTGCGAAGAGTCAATTACTCTGAGATCATTCAGTTATGACTTCTGAACTACCTGGTATTTGAGCTAAATAACACTTACAGGTAAGAAAGTTCATAGTGTCTTTTTGACTAATTATTTTACGAAGAATGCAAGTAACGATCTATATGCTATAGCATGACAACCATTGAATATTAGGTCAATAACAACGCTGGTTCACAGATAAATATTAAAAGTAACCAAATGGATTTGGAATTACATCATCCAAGTAGATAGCTAAAATAATCCCCAGGAAAAAGGTAGCCACCAGCCATTTGTAGATGTGATTCTGCCAAGACCACGAGAAATAAAAAATTACAGAAATAATGATATAATTGAACAATTCAGAGAAAATAAGAATGAAACGAGATGATTCAGCATTGTAAAGGAAGTCCTGGATTCTAACCTCAAATATAAACATTCAAGTTTCTAGGGGCAGCCTTATAGAAGGATTAGTTTATCTTTACTGGCGTTGGGTTGGGTTTAAAGCTTGGAGATAACAGGAACTTTTGTCTAATCTAGGAACATTGATCTTTTGTCTAATCCTAGGAACAAAAGTGAATTCTGGACTTTTTGTTTTTATTTCTTTCATTGGATGATTACATTTATCCTGAGTTATAATTTTTATAACTTTAGAAATGGATTATAAAATTAGAACTAAATTTTAGACTTTTAATTATTAAAAATTTTGGACCTCCAACCAATTTTTGTGATTGTAATTACGAAGGTGGATTCCGTTTTAAGTGGTCCACAAATTCTGATATTAATTATAGTTAGGCACAAACTTTAAATAGCAAATCTCTTTACACCCAAATTCGAAAATCCCTACGACTGCTTAATGAAAATCCTAGAAACTTCTAGCTCTCCTAAAAAAGCTGAAGCCGCGCTATTAAGCCCTCATTTTCTTCCAAACCAAACAAAAAAAAAAAAAAATAGAAACACCAAATACTCTGAGCTTCAACTGCAGAATGGCCGATGAATACGAATGAATGACGCAACTTTCCACAAACCTGATAAAATCTTAGAATTCTTTAAAGTTATCGCTCCATTTTCTTTCTCTCAAAATTGTAAACTCTTTTAAAAAAAAAAAATGAATGCATGTTTAAATTCAAATGTCTAATGCGATATTTGGATCATATTATTGGCAAGTTTTATATTTTTGTCCAATCATTTCCTTGGGTTTTTTCTTAACATATTCTTTGAAAAAGGAATATAAATCGACACCTCTGATTTAACGTTAAAACTCTTGTTAGTTTTAATCTTTTAAATATCACCCTACAAAGAAGCTACTCAAGTTGCATTTCATTTGAAACAAAAGTGGCAAACAGTACTAATTCATCGAACTTAGCATCTGTTGAACACCTATTTTCTTTGTTGCTATTGCATTTGCTAAATTAAAAGGTATTCCACATTTGCAAGGATTTGATATGATTTTCAAGTATTTATAAATGAATGAAGACGCGTTCAAGAAACGTTTAGAAATAAATAAACATGCATGTCTGACTTTATATATGAAACGTAAAACACTTGAAATTATTTTTTACAGTCACGTAATAAAATTGAACCAAACTTTTAACGTCCATCAAGAATGTTTGTTAGCAGTTACATTACTGATATTGAGACTCTAGGGACTACCTACCTTAGAGGTTTGGTTGTTTTTATGACACAACTACTACTTCACTAACAACTGTTAACATACAGAGGAAAAGAGGTAACACCTTATTTTCCAATATTAAAATCTATTATGACCTCAAACAAACAATTAAAGTTGAATTTTTTTTTTTTTGAGATTTAAACAATAAACTTTCCCTCTTTCAACACACAATGAGTGCAACCAATGTCCAAGACAATATTAATCGTCGGAAATAATATTGGTCAATAAGATATTATAAATTATTTTATATTTTATATAGTTCGTATTTGGATATAAAAAAATATACTATTAATTGAATTAAATATGTAAATTTTACTTGATAAATTATTTTATTAAAAAATTTTAGAATGGTTACAAAAGAGAGCTTTATATTATTTTTAAGTTTTACTTCAAAATAATATGATCGTATTACGTATTAATCTCGGGGCATAACATATTCCTATAGCATTTTCTAAATGCTTCCTTCCAACTAGTTAAATGGATCTTACTCTTTTGATACAAAAACAATAAACAGAATTCTTTATTTGAAACACTCATACCAGCATTTATTCACTACATTCATTCTAGCAAAACCAAATCTTTATCAGTTGACTGGTGCCGTTTCGCTATTGATAATCACCTCTGCCCCTGGAAGGGCATTATAATAATTTTGATAAATTATTATAAAAGGATATTTTTGTAATTATGGTTGTAAGGGTATCAAAGTAATTTTGATTTAGTATTGTTAGAAGGATATTTTAATAATTATGTCAAAAGGGGTATTATAGTAAGTTTAGTTCATTATAGAAAAAAGGTTACCACAATCAATTTAAATACTTGTAATTAAATTGTCAAATAATCAAAAAAAATATTATGATCATTTCTTAAAAAAATTAAGTTCGCAAGTGATATTAGCAATGATTAATTTTAATTAAAAATATTATATTATAAATTAAAAAAATAAATTATGATGCGAAGCCATCACATTCATTAATATAATTTTCTTAAAATATATCAAATTAAAAAAATCATATATTTTTAATATTAATATTAAGCTATTCATATTTAAAAAGTTAAAATATTAAAAAATTTTAATAGGAAAAAATTATAAAAAAACCATAAAATGACTTAACATGTATATCATTGATATAAAACGAGTCTCACAAAAAAATTTTAATAAAAAATTATTGATCAATTATGTAAAAAATAAAAAAGAAAAAGTTAAAAAAATAAACATATTTTATATTTTTTATAGCAAATGAGTTTTAAAATAAAATTAAAACAAAAATATAAATTTTATTTGAAAAATTAAAAATAAAAGAAGAAGTAAAAAAAGTTTGGAATAAGTGAGTCCAACAAAAATTTTTTCAAAATATATATTTTTTAAAATATGAAATATAATAAAAAAATTTTTAAAATAGGTGAAGAAAAAAACCAAAAATAAATTTAAAAAATATGAAACAAAAATTGGCTGAAAAAAAATCGGGTTTCACACCTTTAAAAACATAAAAGGATGTGGGCTCCACACCAATTTTAAAAAATTTTAAAAAAAACTGGGCCCATCATAAGAAAAAAAAAAAAAAAAAAAAAAGCAAGAGGGGAAACTGACACGGAGAATACTTAGTAAAAGCATAACTGTAGCATTTAGAACTAGAAAAACTAACCACGCCCAAGTTACAAATTTTTTATTTTGACGAAATATAAATTAATTAATTTTTTATTTACTAATAAAAAATAAATATTTTTTAGTATTTTTTTCGCTGTTTTTAGAATTATAGTAAAAGAGATATCATATGAAGCAATCAAAAAAATAATTTTTATAGTCATGGTTATAATCAAAAAATAATTAAAAAGTATTTTAATAATTTAAATCGATTATAATATGAAAAATATTTTTATAATTATGATAAGATGGTATTTTCATAATTATGATTAGAAAGTATTAAAGTAATTTTGACAAATCATAATATGAAATTTATTTTTGTAATTATGATAGAAGGATATTTTCATAATTATGGTTATAATGACATTAGAG